CTTTAGATCCTCAGATGGCTCTAGCACTTTCGTGACCACGGGCTGAGAGTCTTTGCTCGATTTTGGCATTTAGCAACTGGCATACGGTTAAATGTGGAGTCAACAACAACAACAACAACAATAGAGAAGAAGAGTGCTTCCGGAAAACAGAGAAGCAGGGGTCACAAACACCNCTTGCGTTCTTGCCAGTCGTTCTCTGCCTCCTAGCTGAGCTTTCCACCTCTCCGTGAAGCCTCTGGCCACGGTCTCACTCTAGCCCAGTCAATAAGGACTCTGGAGGAGGCGTGTTTTTGTATGAGGTCTGCGCGCCATCGCCGCATAAAAAAAAGAAAATCCTAAACCCAATAACACTGTACCTGTCCGTATCCAAACACACGAACAGAAACAGGGACGTGAGAGAAGTCAGTTTGCACCGTACCCTCTCCATCCACATGTCAGCACACGTGGTCCAACCCATATCGCAAGAACAGGGCAGGATGGCCCCTCCAAGAAAACAAAAAGAGCGGCCGCTGCTCTTGGACGAGAAGAGCAGAAAAGTTGTTCGTGTGATCGGGTGCAAAACATGATTTACCAAGCTACGTCGTGTCAAATTATGATGCGTAAGACGTTCGACCCAAGCTGTATCCTGGGCCCGAACTGATTGTTCTACAAACATACAACAGCCGTAAATCGACGGGAGGGCGTACATTAGTCAGTGTAGTAGGTTCGAGGCAACGAGATACGTAGAAGTAGATAAGATACACAGCAGTAGTGCTGGGTGTGACGAGCGCCACCGTCCCACTGCNTGTAGTAGGTTCGAGGCAACGAGATACGTAGAAGTAGATAAGATACACAGTAGTGCTGGGTGTGACGAGCGCCACCGTCCCACTGCTGTANCGTTCGACCCAAGCTGTATCCTGGGCCCGAACTTATTGTTCTACAAACATACAACAGCCGTAAATCGACGGGAGGGCGTACATTAGTCAGTGTAGTAGGTTCGAGGCAACGAGATACGTAGAAGTAGATAAGATACACAGTAGTGCTGGGTGTGACGAGCGCCACCGTCCCACTGCTGTAGTGCTTCAATAAACGAATGGTACACGCTTCCACGGTTGGGTCATCAGCCTCGCCAGAAACAGGCACGCCTGCTACGGACACCGAGGGCATGTCTACATTTGACAACCTAAACCTAAAGCCTACAAGCAGAACGGGGCAGTACACCTGCTGTACTCATGTCCTACAGCAGTACTACAGCACTGCCTGGTTGCGAAAAACGTTGAAGGTGACGCTCACGCCACGCCTCTCCGCAGTAGCGACCACATCGTCGTACCTAACCCCAGCCAGATAGACTCCACAGAGCCCAGGGTGCTCCTTCGCAGCTTCGACGCCCTGATCGCGCGTCAACCCTCTTGGTAGAGCCTTTGGCGGATCGTCGTGCAGGCATGAGCCCGCTCCCACCGCCACGGCGGCATCGAACGCAAATTCTCGTACGCGCCCAGGATGGCTGTCATGCTCCTCCTTCATCTGGCGCAAAATTGCCAGGGTGTCCCCTCCTCTGAAGTCCTCCACGAGGGGAGTATCGGGGTGTGCGTTGACCGCCATCGCCTAGGGTGGCGCGGACGCGGGTAGTAGGGCTGTTGTCACCGTCCTTGTCCACGTCATTAGAGCTGTCATCATCCGCGTCGTCCCATGAAGGTGACTGCCCGGAAAGGCTTTCGAGGTTGAAATGCGGGCATCTCCGGAGACATCAGCTTCATTGCCTTCCCGGTCTTGTCCAAGAGACGGAATCGATAGTCCTGATCAGCATTGATTTCGTCGACCGCCGTTAGAACTCAAAGGGTAAGCCTGACATACACTGTAAGGGTTCGATTGCCTCCATTCTCGAGCCATACGTCGAGTTGCTCCTCCACACAATGCTTCAGCGCCGTCCATATGCAGCCCGCGTCGATCAGATGGTCCTCATTGGGGCAGCCTGCATGCAAACACCAAAGAAGCATTTGGCGCTTCTTACGGAGATCACAGCGAGGAGAATTGACTGCACCTCGGGCATGGTGCCACTGTTGATTTTGGTGCAGGTCGAACCCTTGACGCGGTCGATTCCCGTGGCCACAGGCTAACTTTCCCTCAACAAGGCATTCTCAAACATTACGGACCCAAAGGGTCCCCAAGCCAATATGAGTCAACTACAGATAGCCTAGAGCCCCCCGCTCGCCTCTACACACTATGTGAGGTAAACACACCATGCTCGGGAGATACAGAACAGCGCGTAAGTCATGCAGAAATTTTCCTGCGGGCTGAGACCTTTGGCTAGAAGATACCATCAAGAAAACGCCCACTTATCGCAGACCACGAGCTCCTGAAACTGCTCGCCGGATCCTTCTTTCGAGATGGTTCTTATTGCTTCCAGGAACCACCTGCCCTTCATGTACCCGGAGCTCTTGCAGGAGCATACGGAGCGTCTTGTCCAAGCGCTTTTCTGTAGGATTGGGCATGGGAGTTGGACCTCTTCTGCTAGGACAGCGAGAGACGCTCCGCCCACCTTCGCGTGATCGGGAAGGATGGAAGGAACGTGTAGCTCGAGCATTTCCCCGACACCTTTACTATCGGAACTTCTTAAGAGCGATCATGATCCATATCGTGATTCATTTCGTCGGGACCCGCACCCTGTTGCACATTGCCACTGTAATGCTGTAGCTCATTCACGATATCAAGCAACCGCAACTTCGACCCAGGTGTCTTTGCCATCAGACCTCGCCGACTTCAACAACTAACTCACTTTACTGTGGTTTCTCCCTTTTCACACGTCCCACAAGCAAAGTAAGTGTTGTGCTGAAGATCGCTGCCAACGCCGTAGCTACTTCTTCGAAACAAGAGGATGCATGGTCGAGGAGACCGTTTGTTCTACAGTACTAAATCCGTAGTCGATGTGCTATTCGTAATTGCTTACTCTTCTACATAGCAACTACATGGGCTGACAAAGGAGAACCTCTATGGGTGTTTCATGTTATCCGATGGCCTACTACTCCGTCGGTAGAGATCGGATATTGGGCGTAGTGGCAGGGACCTGCGACCCATCCGTCAGAATCATGGGTGTCCACCATGTTCATTGTTGAAACGGGACGGTGGCCTGGATACGCATGAACGATGGGGTGCTCTCAGGCTGGTTTGAAGTCACACGGGGAATCCCACATGGGTGTCTGACGTCCTTATCGCTGAACAATATCTGATTTCCAGCGGGATGGAGGTGGTGCTCGTACAGTGTTTAAGTCAAGCCGATACTATCCTCGGCAGACGACTTTCCATCGACGAACGATAAGGGGGTGGGCCCGAGATGCTACTGACTCGAGTCCGGAGGGAAGTGTGGGCAAAGAATTGTGGGCAACGCTTTTTGCAGAGGGTGCGTGGATCGTGTTGAGCTAGCGAGAATGATGGCGAGTATCGTGAAGGTACTCGGTGAGGTCACATGAAATTGAGAGTCGGACAGAAAGCCGCAGTACGCTGTTCTAAGCTCCGGACACCGGATAAGCGTAGAACCGAGGGGGAGACTATCAATGCTTGAGAAAATGTGGTACACGAACGACTCCATGCTACTGCACGGGTATGGTTATTGCTGCGAAGGGATCCTTCCAACCAGCAAACGTCGAGGAAGGCAGCTTGGGCGTCTGGAGTGGAATGTGGAGCGAAGCCATCATGAGTAAGTATTACCCTAGCCTTGCCCCAACACAACACAGGATGCCTCCTGGATACCAAGGCCAGCCATCCTTCACTGCACCACACTGCCTCTACCCGGCGTTTGAAGTCACGATTGACGGGATCACATAGCAGTTGGCAGGCATTGTATGCAGGTTGGTGAAACCGGGCCGCGTCATTTGATAGATTTAGCCAAGAGGGGGGGACAATAGGTTCAGGAAGGGACCCACTCACTGCCGACGAACCGCCTTTCACTCCGAGTACTGGTAAGCACCAACACCGCAATCAATCACAACGATATGCCTTCATCGCATCAGCTCGGGTGTGCATTGTTTTCGTTCGCATTTTTTTCGCACACGCGGGACCAAATTCATCACATGTTGAAGGCAAGGGTATTTGTATTTACCCGACGTCGTTGTTTTTTCGTTTTGGATCTTCGGCAGTTCATTGGTTATGGTGGATGCCATATCTAGAGAGATCAGGAATGTAATTTGTGCTCGGTGCGTATCCCTGTGTATTTTTGAAGGGTTGCCTCTTTGTCTCTTTGCTGGTCTCTGTGAATATGTCTTTGTATTCGGCGAGACACGACGATCTTTCGGTGAAAAAGGTACAGTGGGATAATCGGACTGGACACGGAACGGGACGGGAGCTGCTCAAGCATTGATTCACACAGAATCACAAAAAAGTGAACAGACCTCCCTGCTGCAAAACGCGGTGGGTTCATTTGCGTTCTGCGTGAGATCGAGTGGAGGTGCGATGTGTGCGTTGGTTTGTCGGCGCTGTCTTGCTGTGGCCGTGCGTACGTACCGGGAAGGGTGGTTCCCATCAATCCTGTTCCCCGACGAGAAATAAATGCCCACCATCCGCCAAACAAACAAAGCCTTAATGAGGATATTGTTCTCGGATATTCTTGGACCGCACCACCAACCACTGGACGATGACACTGCCGCACCACCGCGGGCGGTGATGTTAACGCCAAGGACTCCTTCTGGACTGCTCTCGACGCAGCGATCCGGGAGGTTCACAGCCGTGACCATCTCGTGGTGCTAATGGACGCCAACGCACGCACTGGTAGGAGGCGAGACGGTTGCTGCGATGCCAAGATTATGGGCGCGTACTGACGCGACATTATGAACAACAACGGGGAACGACTCCTTGGACTGGCATCAGACAACCAACTCTCCCTGACCAACACCTACTTCCGGACACCGAAAGGTGGAGTGCAGCACACATTCCAGAGCTCCAACAAGGGGAAGGCGAAGTATCGCCTCGACTTCATCCTCATGCGTCAGACGGACCGGCGTTTCGTGCGTAATGTCTCCAACAAACGTGTCGACTTCAAGGACTCTGACCACAACCTCGTGCTTACGACTGTCCGCCTCCCCCCCCGTGTCGCACCCAACCGACAAGTACAGGGGGACAGCAGAAGCAGCCGGATCCGTATCGGCCTCAAGCGGTTAACGAAGGACAAACACCTACGGGTCGCCTCCCAAAACAGGGCCTCCAGCCGCCCTCCGCCCACGGCGCCCAGGCGGCCAACGGCAGAGGNCGACTGTCCGCCTCCCCCCCCGTGTCGCACCCAACCGACAAGTACAGGGGGACAGCAGAAGCAGCCGGATCCGTATCGGCCTCAAGCGGTTAACGAAGTNCGACTGTCCGCCTCCCCCCCCGTGTCGCACCCAACCGACAAGTACAGGGGAACAGCAGAAGCAGCCGGATCCGTATCGGCCTCAAGCGGTTAACGAAGGACAAACACCTACGGGTCGCCTCCCAAAACAGGGCCTCCAGCCGCCCTCCGCCCACGGCGCCCAGGCGGCCAACGGCAGAGGCCGCCGCCGAGCTGACGGCTACGGTGATGTCGGCCGCCGCTGAGACCGCGCCGCTGGCGAGGTGCGCACGAGGGCAGAGAGGCTGGTACACGAGCGAAGAGCAGCACGAGATCTCCGAAGCGTCTAAGGAGATCAAGGCGGCCCAGCTGCAACTGCGTGGGGCCTCAAAGAACAGCGCCTTCGAGGCGACCCTGAAGGCGATGCTCAAGGCGGCGCGGAACAAGCGTAGCATCGCGAGGTGGAGAGAACTGGAAACGTTCATCGAGGGCTATGTACGGCAGCTCGACAAGAAGCGCCGCAAGGGGGATCAGGTGGGTTTCTACAGGCAGCTGAAGATGATCGACGTCGAAGGTAAGAGGTCGTTCACCTCTCAGAACATCAAGGACGAGGACGGCAAGGTCCGTCGGGACCCCACGTTAATTCGCCAGCGGTGGGCACGGTGANATCAAGGACGAGGACGGCAAGGTCCGTCGGGACCCCACGTTTATTCGCCAGCGGTGGGCACGGTGATTCCACAAGCTCCTCAACTCCAAGTCGCCGACCATCGACCTGCATGCGGCTGACAAGGTCAAGCGGTGGCCCACGTGCGTGCCACTCGACGACATCCCATCTCTACTTGAGGTTGAGGAAGCGGTACGGGAAATGGCCAACAGAAAGGCCATCGGGCCGAACGACCTACCGGCTGAGCTGATCAAGCTTTTCCTGGACGGAGATCAAGGTCTCCTCCGCTAGTTCACGCCCCTGTCGTGGACGTGTGGCAGACGGGGGACGTACCAAAGCAGTGGAAGGATGCCACCATCAAAGTGCCATTCAAGAAGGGGGACACAATGGAGTGCGGCAACTACCGGGGCATCTCTCTCGTCGCACACGCCGGCAAAGTGCTGCTTGAGGTCGTCGCTAAACGACTGAGCCACTACTGCGAGCGAGATGGCATCCTCGCGGAGGAGCAGAGCGGTTTCCGCCCACATCGGTCGACGCTCGACATGCTGTTCGCCATCCAGCGGCTCCATGAGCTCGCGAGGAAGAAGAGTACTGCGGTGTTCGTGTGCTTCGTCGACCTCATTAAGGCATACGATTCGGTGGACCGAGACCTACTGTGGGACGTGCTCCGACGCTTCGGCGTGCCCCCGAAGATGCTGGCGGTCATTCACCACTTCCACGACGGCATGAGGGCGCGCGTCCGGAAAACGGGCAGTACC